ATTTATGTATTAAATGAATGAATGTATTTATTTATGAATAATGTGAGTGCTTTGTTAACATAAATGTCATGATAAATCGGGGTTTATGAAAAATTAAGTAATTAATACATCTAAAAACGACTGTTTATTTTTGTATTTTGAACCAAAATTTAATGATAATTATTTCTATAAATAGGAATATAACTTTTGGTTGCTAATCCATATATCATACCGGAACTTCACTATTTCTAAAATCAATTAATAGTTGAGCCTTTTACTTTCCATATCTTGCAAATGTCCTTGGACCAACTTGATGGACATTTTTAATAAATCAATAGAAAAATAGGTAGTTTGACCTTCTAGAATTCAGCATATAGATTTTTTTTTTGGATTATTTTAATTAAAATAGCTTTTAAATGAGTAATTAATTAAGGGATATAAATTAGCAAAAGAAATTAAGAATTTAAATATTTTGCAAGATTAATACACCACTAAGAGAAAGGAAATGAATGTTCAATTTTTGAGGTCAACCAAGACTAAGATGTAACCTTCGTAAGATTCACAATTCTCATTATCTCGAGGAGCTCTTCGTTGAAGATAATGTCATGTATGAGTCCAAATAGTCCAAATTACTGTCATTCAAACAAGTATCTAAAACCTCCTACGTACTATGTTGAGATTTTAATAATATTTTGTGCTGTAAAAAATGTCTCCTACAGTCCGCAACAAGTGAAACATTGCAACCTAACAAAGCACAAGTGTTGCCCCAGACCTTAAGAACTATATTGTACGAAAAGAATCATAGTCAGCATATATTTACCAAACAATTATGCCAATAATTTATTAACCTCACATTTAAATGCACATAATCAAGTTTGAGCGTTCCAAAAGCATTTCCAAGTTAACAAGCATTACATCGTGCAAGAGCCCTTACACCCTAAAACATCATGTGAAGGATAGTATTTTTTAAAAAACGTAAGTCATCGGGTAGAAACCTGTGAACAACTTTAAATTTTCCATGCCCCCACCCTACGAGAGTCTCTTGAACTTGAAATGTAGATAATTGCAATATATCCGCATGCCCTTTTGTATAAAGAGTCTTTTGAACTTAAAACATAAATAAATAACGAATTTATGAATAATTCTATTTTTTTTACTTTTTATTTCAACATATCTTTTTAATTATTAAATAAATAAAGTATTAAATATATTAATGTTTTCAAGATAATGAGTGCATTCATTTTTCATTCAAAATGTTTATTTTATAAAATACTAATAAAAAGATAATTAAAATAATAAAAAAGATGACTTAGCAAAGCTCAAACAACATAGATTTGAAAAGGTTTCATGAATTAAGATAGACATTAAGAAATAAAAAACAATAAGCACAAGGATTCAATATTTTGAAAATTCAAACGGAACTAATAAGAGGACAACTTTCTTTAAAACCTCTCTTAAAAAGTCAAAATAAGTTTTAGAAAAATTAGTTCAAATACATACTTAATAATTTATAAATAATTGAGATGAGTAAATTAAAGATACCCATTTTAATATTTCTAACTTGCATCTTAACGTACATGTGAATAAATTCTTATACAACGTATTTTAAATATTAAATGCACAAAAAAAATAGAAAAGACAAAAAATATTAAATGAGAGTTAGTGATTCGAGCCAAGGAGACAAAGTTGTCCCTACTGTATTGGAATGTGAATACAAAAGGAGAATATCACATTTAACATATTCTTGCGTGTTGGGTTGTTTGGTGTCCTTTACATGGTCATGGCTCGGTAGATCATGGAGCTACTACATATATAAAACTAGCTACCTAACTCTGTTTCTCTTCGATCAACTGTTAATTAGATATTTATTGGTAGAAGCGATGTCATTAACAAAGACAATAATCTTGGGATTACAACCTATAGATATTGTGTGTTCGCACTATAATTAACTTCAAGAGCTGATCTCCTATTTGATTACTTATGTCTAATTCCAAAGTGATAATGCATGTACATGCATGGACTTATACATGCCTTACGTACTTTTAATCTTTTTTGTCAACCTTTCTTGGGAAATTCTTATTTTTTTTCTGCATCATTTCGAAAAAATAAATTGTCCTAATCATTGTCGATCTCATGTATTGACATTGGAGGGCATATTGTGGGTATGGGTGGTTTTGAGATAGAGACTTCCCATAAAAGCATAAATGCCACACTAAAAAGATGATGTTATTGCAAGACACCACACTCTCAGAAGAGAGTGATAGAGATCGATCCGGTGGAACTAATAGAGTCCCAAAGGTTCAATATAATGGTAGGGTTGGTTTCCACAACAAACAGGTAAGGATATTGATTGTCAATAAATGCTTTATTTTTCAGTGTACTGTTTGAGTTCACCTATTAGTAGCATTCTTCATAGTCAGGAAGGAATTAGTAACCCCACATGGGCATCAACTGACATTGAACAGTGTGTTAACTCTCAGAAAATTATTCTTCCACAATATGCCAATATGCAAACAGATTGCTTTTATTAAGGAAAAGTCTTCTAATTCTAATCAAGATAGTCCCTTCTTTTTTAAATGAACGAAGAAAAATTTAAATGTCGTTTGTATAGATTATAATACTCTTAATTTACATAATTTGGTCATGATTTTATACAAAAGAAGGTCGCGGTAGTAAAGACAAAATCTGCCTAACTAGCTATGATCTTCCTGCGGTGGGACAACTTTTGGTATCACATTTAATTTTAAAAAATATTTTTAATATACGTGTGTGTATATAATTATATCCAGTATTAATTTTAAATTTTAAAATAACTAACTAAATAATCGTATTACCAACGTCAAGGATCTAAATTATAATTGCAACCATGATGCAATAATAAAAATGTAGATAAACGCGGTTACATATATATAATTTGTGTATGATCCTTAGTATGGCCACACTCTCAGTTACAATCAGTAGTTCTTATTTGTATAACAATTTTAAAGAATAATATTTAAATCTACCTTTTCCTTTTTAATTAAGTATATATTTAAAATGTATATATGAAAATGACAAAATGTTAACATTCTACACAAATTATTCTATACACTATTTTGTGTCAGCCATAATAATAAGAGAAAATATTTAAATAATGAATAAGATATATTTGATTTAATTTTCTTCAGTTCTGGCCATTGTACACCATATGTATAACTGCATTGAGCACCATACCATATGAATTGAAGGCTGCAGGTTAATTTAGAGCACTCAAAAGGAGAGAGAAAGATAAGTGGTCAAAATTAAAATAAAATTGGCTGAAAGGTCGATTCAATCTACAGTTCATCCATCAGAAGGAAGAGGGGAGAAGGGGTGCATGCACTGTAGAAGGTATCAGTACATGTTGCCAATCAGCCCAACCAACAAAACTTGGGCTCCACACTCTTGCAGTTCTCAGCTGTAGCTCACCTTTTGCCATTCTCTCTCTCTCTCTCCACAAAGCTGCAAATGAGATCCACTTCATTGCATTGCTTGCAGGTTATACCCTCATATACCTCACAAACTTCAAAACGGGACCATTATGATATCTCCTATGTATCCTACCCTTAAATCTTTTGATATCCTCCTTTTACATTGTGCATCAATTTTCTCTCAAAAAGCTAATCATTTGCTTTGAATTTTCCGTGCAAGGGTGAATCTCAATTTGGTATATGTTCTATCTATCAACAAACACATCGTCTCCTCTCCCACTATGCAAAGCAAAAGGGCATCATATGCACCCCCAAACAAAAAGCTGACGTAGGGTTTCAGTTTCACAGGATGAAAAGGCTACCCAATGACCTACAATTGTAAGATAATAAAAATATATGGAATAACTTGTGTCATCAAAATTTTCAATTATCCAATACTTTACATCATTATTTAAATTGTTTTTACTTAAGATTATGTTGTTAAATATAAAAATTAATATCAACATGTCACAATTTAATTGAAAAAAATAGTGAGAAATTTGATTTTATATTATGCTCTCAATGGCTTCCTTGTGACTTTTGTGGTATATTGTGGCATGTTGAACTCGTACTCTCATCTTTTGATATCCAAGTGTTAAGCTTCACCTTATATATATCCATTTTGAGACAAATTGTGGATTAATTGGAAAATACGTACCAAGAGATCTTGAGAGGAAAGCAAGTTGTCAAAGCCATGAAATGCCCCACATGTATTTGTCCATGCACATTCATCATTATCCATCAAAGTTTAAACTTTGATGAGGCCTACAGCCTCTGGATTTGAGAAAAAAACTTTTCTTCATTTTGACCCTTCTTCCTGTTCATTTTGACAAGCAAGAACGCAAGACATATATAGGTCCTTTCTCAAACATATATACGTACAATAGCGTAAACACATAACATATTACATGTTGAGACAAACGTAGAGTGTACAAGACTAGTGCACTAATTCGTACGTGTATCCAGAAGTACATATACACCAACCTACGAGATACTAAAACTTTTCTTACGATGATACTAAAACACATGTCAAAACGTTATTATAAAGGTAATAAGACAAACGTAAATAAATACAGATAGCTCAGTAAAATGAATGTACAGTGTTTTCAATCCGCCACATGGCACTGGACCTTAAGACAAACGCAATTTTAGATAAATTAAGAAATTGAAATTTAAAATACAACTGAAGCTGCATGCTATAGGTTACAATTGCTACTAACCAATTAGCTACATGCTTATGCCAAAAGCATATGTAAGGTAATAATCTTTGACTGCAATGCCTTAAGCAGATATAAAAGAAGAGATCTTATACATGAGAGAACAAATTAAAAAAAGTTGGATTTACACCTGGCTTTAATGCTTAGCATCCAGGGTTAATTCCAACAGAAAGAAAAGAGAGCCAAAGAATAATAAAGAACCAGAAAAGGTTGGCCTCTATTTAAACCTGGTGCTTATATATAGTTCTTAAATGGGAAGCCATGGATATATATTAATCCCAATTAATTTGTTCATAAATTAATTAAGATTTAAGAATAAGATAATTCACATAGGGATATAGATATAAATTTAAAACCAGTTTCATTTTCCTTATTATGTCTTTACTGGGTGAAATCATTATCTTGTTCTACTTCTGATGCAGGCTCTTCTTCCTCTTCAAAGCCATCAATCCCATAAGCTGCATGGCCACTCCCAAAAGCCTTGATATGATCTTTAAGAGACCTCTTGTGCTTGAAATCAGAGCCACAGATGCAATACCAAAGCTTCCCACAGTTCTTTTCATGGGTTCTCCAATCACCCCTCACAGCAAAAGCCTTGCCACATTTTCTGCACATGAAGGGCTTAATACCATGCTTCCTCTTGTAGTGTGTTTGAAGGGTTCTAAAATCTTTGAGGGGCTTTGCTCTTGGGTGATCAATGTTGTTCCTGCAACCTGGGGAACAACAATAGCATGGAAGCCTAAGCATTCCTGTTGGTTGGGTACCCCTCAGAGATTCAGGCCCTTTTCTGTACTGTGATCCATGCCCCCACATATGCATCTGACAAAGAAAGAAAAGAAGAAAATTTATGGAATATACCCCAAAAACAAGAAATTAGCTACGTTAAATTAGGCAAATTAACAAGGTAAAATGATCAAAATCTGTATTAATTGGTTATATATTGTGAATTTTTAAACTTTAAATGAAAAACCAAAACAAAAGTTGGTTAAACTTTAAGTTGGATATTGAAGTAATTGTATTATTTTTATTTTTGTTATTAATTTCACTTAGCAATCAACTGGAGTTGACATAGACAATAACTGTCTCAGAAGCGCCTTGCGGAACAATACTTTTTTCTCCGAATATGTTAGCTTTTTAGTATGTATATTAATTGTTTAACTGAATGCACTAAAATAAATTAAAAAAACAAACAAACAAACAAATTTCTTGCACTGCAAATTTCATGAAAATTAGATAAGTAATCATTAACTGTTTGCTATGAAGAAAGAAGGCCTATTACAGGCCAGAGAGATAGAGTAAGGGTATAGCCTTGTCCATGTATGGGATTTTCAGGTAGGGAAGGTGTTTGGAATCAGACTGAAAAGGGCCACAAAGAGAAACAAATCTATTGCTGTATTAATATCATTATCTGAGAGATCTGGAAGAAACACTGCAAAATTATCAGTTCTTTGCGCAGCTGCATGCCAAAACACATACGAAGCACAGACTTCAATGCACTAAAGGCATAAGGAACATTGCCTGAGTAGTTTAATCAACAAAAAGTAGTATGGGATCTGATCTAAGTCACAGTGTGAACCAGGAAAAGATTTGTTCATACATTAGTACTGGTTTCACCATGCAAAAACGCAAAAAAAAAAAAAAAAAATGCTCATTAATTTTAATCATTATGACTGAAGGACAAAAAATAAAAAATGACCCTGGTGGTAAAGAGGGGAAGACAAAAAGGAGAAGAGAAAAATAAAATGAAAGTTAAAGAAAAGGACAATATTTTCCTCTAACCATTCAAACAATTAATCAAATTAATTTTTTTAACTATAAATTGCCGGAAGAAAAGTAGAAGAAGAGCAACAGAAGGAGGGCCTTCAACATGTGTGTGGGTTATGGTTAATTTCTTGTATATGTTACTATACACTAACCTGCATATTGTTGTATCTGTTGAAGGTTTTGCAGCAAACAGGACAAGAAAATTGTGTAGGACCAATGAGAATCTGAGAAGGAGTAGGGATCCAGTACTGCCCCTTGTTGAGCCTGTTGGCTAAGAACCCTGAAGAAGAATCCTCACTACCATTGTTACCATCACCACTTTGTTGTTGTTCTTTGTTAGTGGAAGAAAGCATTGAGGCTATCTCAGCAGCACTAGGGCTTGGCAACCCTATGTGCAGTGCAACAGTGACACTATCATCATCCTCTTCTTGTTCTTCCTCTTTGGGATGGAGGATCCTGTTACACTCCTCTTCCACATCCATGGACTGATCCTCCTCTTGTTCTTCTTCATCCTCTTGCTTTGTTGGGCTAAGACTCAAAAGTGGAAGGGCTTCTCTTAGAGGAGGGGAAGGGGGTGAAAAGGTAGAAGAACAAGAGGTGATAGTGCTTTGAAGGTGGTGGGGGTGGAAGTAGTGGAAAAAGGTGTTGTTGTTGATGTTGGTGTTGGTGTTTTGGTTGATGAAGTTGTGAACATAAGGGTGGCGTGGTGAAGGGTTTGAAGATGGGTAATGGAAGAAACCTGATGAGAAGAAATTAGAGTAAGGGTCAGCCATGGGTGGAAAAAGGTTAGTGTTTGTGGAGAGAGTGGGAACAGTTCTGAGGATATGTTGGTTTCCTTTTATACAGATAGAGAAAGTACAAGATGGCTGAAGGAAGTGGACGGTGGAGAGAGAGAGAGAGAGAGAGGTATCAGACATGGGGAAAGAAGTATAGTCAAGTGGACTCAAAAATAAAGCAACACAACATAACAAAATCACTTTAATTAAAATATTTGATGATTAGGATTTAATCATTAAGAAGAATGAAGCAATATAATGACAATTCTTTTTTTAATTTTCGTCAGTCTTCTTTTTCATTTTTGTTAAGAGAGAGAGAGAGAGAGAGAGAGAGAGAGAGAGAGAGAGAATACCGTTAGCGGCAGTTTATAGTTATACATGGAAGAGTACTATCCAATAATTAATTTTAATTTATTAGAGTATTTACGCCACATATTACTTCATTATGTATCGTCATGTTCTCAATATATACATCTTCTAAATTTTTATTATTATAATAAAATTTGAGATAAATACTAAACTTGATGAAACCAAAACCTCCAAAACCCCCTCTCTCTCTCTCTCCCCCTATATATATATATATATATATATGTGAACGTTTTCAAAATTAAATCATAAATGATTAATTAAGGATTAAATTTATACATAATTTGCTTTTTGAAAAAGTATTATGTATGAAAATAGAGGAAAAAAACTTAAAAATAAAATTACCTCACCATTATAATATTAAAATGATTATTCGTTGTTTTTTCTTTTGAAAATTAAATTAGGTTGGCAACTTTTTTAAAGACAATTTAATGTTTACTCTTAATTTATAATAATATATAATATGTGAAAAAATAATTGTGAAATAAAGTTAAATGTTTTATCCCCTGGGTCGATCAATCAACTGTTAGGTTGTGTTTAGATAAAACAAAAAATATAAAATATTTAAATATCTAATTTATATTATTATTTAACTTTTTATCATTTTAAATTAGGTATTTTAGATTGAGTAATTGAAATTATTTTATTTTTTATTTAAATAGAATAATCAAATTTTTTGAATTTTAATTTTTTTATTTCAAAATTTATTATGATAAGTATAAAAAAAAGTGAAGGCTCACACATTATGATGTCACTATGGAACTAGACCACCAATTCTTCATTATCTAAGTAACAATGATCTCAAACTCAATCCGAGTATGATTTTGAATAAACTTCTATAAAACAGAAAAAATTAACATAAAAAATAAATAAAATATTTTATAAGTTAAAATAATTTAGAAGTTAAATAATTTTTAAAAAATTATAAGTTATTTCTAATTTATAAAAAAATATTTATTTTTTATACTAATTTTTTTCTTTACAAAAATTTCTCTAAAATTTTACCTAAATTGAGTCTACAGCGTGTGAAGATGGGGAGGAGGGAGGCACATGGAAAGGGGATGAAACACGTGCCCGAGAAGACATTAAAGCAAGAGTGCACAGTGACGACATTGACGGATTCACTGAAGGAGATGATGATATATTTTGGTATCTCTAATGGTTTTGTGAATTTTTAGGAATATGAGAAGAGATAATGGTTTCTAAATATAAAAAAGAGAGATAAAATCCTAAGAAAGAGATATAAGAAAACATTAAAAAAAAAAACCATCTAACAAAAAATGAGAAAAGATTAAAAAAGCTGCATATGCAAAGCACATGAGAAAAAGAGAAGGAGAAGGAGATGAACATGATAAAATATTAAGAAAGTGAAAAAAAGAAAAAAAAATAAGGAGTGATATATTTTATTTAAAAAAAAAAAAACTGTTTTTAGAAGAAGAAATAAACATGTTCTAACTCTTTTAATGAAATTTGTAATTTTTTAATTATTGATTACAATTTTCTGTTAACATTTTCAAATCTTCAGTTAAATACTCAATTCAAATATTGTATATCATTTTATTTAAAAAAATGTCTCATTTGTAATTATGTTTTTTTTTTATGAATGCTATATTAAAGTACAACCTAATGGCCTGAATCAAAAATTAACTTTCTTTGACTTGATTTTTTGTTTCAAATTTTATGTTATTTAATCCATTTTAACTAACTTGATCTGACCGTAAATATTTGAGTTCTAGACTTTTTATATTTAATTATTTCAACAAAATTTGACTTTAAGGTGATGGACATTTGAATCCTTGTGATCATTGCTTTCAGAGTATGACTTTCACTACCTTCTTCTATGAGAACTGTTGCCACGAAAACTCATCTGTAAAAACAATAAACATAGGAGAACGCATCTTTAACCATTAAGTTAAAAATTCACCTTGCAATTAATTATTTTATTTAATTCTTCTTGGATCATTGTTGTGTTATGCTGTTTGATAGCAGGATATACAAGACTTGCATAGTAGTATAAGTAAACTTACAACTTATGATATTTTTATGGAAAACTCTACTACACTGAGTTATACTTTTAAAAGTAAAATAAAATTATAATCATTAATATTATTTTTATTTTTAAAATTAGCTATAAAAAATAATGAAACATAAATCTTTAAGTTGATGTGCATCATCTAATTTACTTCAAAAATTTCGATTTAATCTTCAGTATAAAACATATACATATTATGCTGGCATGAGAATGAGTTACAAAAGTAAAACATTTTATTATATTTTTTTATTTCTTTAATTTAGATTATGTGTGATTTTTTAAGTTAATAAATTTCTTTATTTTTAAAAAATTAACAAATTTGACTATTCATTGTTTGCTTTTACTTAAATTATCTTGTGATAGATTTATTATATTAAATAATTTAAATATTTAGAAGTAGAAATTGAAAAAAAATTATTATTTTATTGAATTTTGATGCTTTGATGAGTGAATTTTGAGTAAAACAATTAAATTTATTCAATTTGTGAAAATTTTGAATTGATAAAAAAGATTAAATTTATTTAAAAAATATTAATCCGTGGTCTCAAATTCAAGTTTCAGTAAATGCAGTTATATTTAGAAAAAAAAAACTGACACCAAAATGATCCCACTGACTTGAATAGAATTATTTCTAGTAAACTAAAAAAAATTCTATTAATATTTAAAGGAAGAAGGAGTTAGTTTTAATAAAATTTTAATAAAAATACTCAATCTAAATTAAAAGAATCAAAATTACAGTTAAGCTAAATTATTTTTCATATCCATTGGGTAAATTGGATAATTAATTTTTGTGAATATCAATAGAATATACATAAATCCAAATGCCACCACGAGGGTCCTAAAATATAACGGCAGCTTAAAATGCCATATTTTCCCCTTATATATATGGTGGATAATTGCAGCTTAAAGTACAAGACCATGTCATTCCTAACAATGATATGTATATAAATTTTATAATTTATTAAGAAAAATAATGCATAATCAAATATAAATAGCTAAAATTACATAATTTCATATCAAACAAATTAAAAATTAATGAACGTGAAATTTTTTTGCATAATTGTTGTTGCTAAACAGAGATCTTAAACCTAGCCTATTCGACAGGACAAGGCTCGTGTTTCACGGTACATTTAGGAACTTACTAGATGTTGAAATCCCAACAGCACCAACAGGTACCACGTTAGTACAAAACCTTTCTTGTCAAAAATATTATTGTTTAAAAACTATTTTTACTATTTAATTACAACTATACATTTTAATTTCAAATTTATTATTAAAATTATTTTTGCATATATTTTTATTATATTTCACACTTTGAAACTAATTAAGTTTATTAAAATTAATTCTACTAAAACTGATAGCCTTTAAATTCAATTGTGAAACTTTATTTTGCGTCGTTATAGAAAGCAATGTCATGCGTAATTAAATTCCACACGTTCAATCTTTTAGTCACATAGACATATAATTCCCAATATATGAATTTATCATTCAAAGATATTTTCTATTATAGATAGTTGTATGAAGTACTAGATCCTGAATTCATTTACTTGCACTATTCTAGAATAATTGTTAGAGATAGAATATTTTAGTTGGGTTCTATTTATTTTGTATTTATTTTTATTATTAAACATTAATAATTGTTAGAGATGTGTCTTCGTTTGGTGAAATTATATTACTTACATTGTTAATATCTTTATAAAAAATTAAATTTCATTAATTCTTATTAAATTAATCAAATAGTTCTTGTTTTTATATATTTTAAAAGTATATTTCACACTAATTTATATATATATATATATATATATATATGAATAAAGTATCAAATAATTTTGAATTGATCTATAATCTATGTTATTAAAATTTTTAATCTAAAGTTTTTTTCTAAAAATTAATTATTCAATAATAAAACTATCAAATAGCGTAAGAATCAGGATAATTTATATTGGTATAAATTTATTATTTTAATTAATATAACAAGGATCAAATTGCACTGTGGTGTAGTGTGTGTCCATATATATTATTGCTCTAGGTTTTTATTCTTCTTGGGTGTTTTGAAGGGGTAGAAAAGGTTATAGGAGCTGAGATGTTGCATAAACATTCGAAAGAATAGAACATTTGACTCTTAGCATAGATAGAGATACTTTTAATTTCAAAAAGAACAAGATAGTTTTGTGATGATGAATTGATTAATTAAATTAATGAGAGAGAGTATTGCACGCATCCCAGGATAGACAAGAGGCATAAAAGATAGAATCTGTTTCTCACAGCCACCATCATATAATACAATTTTGTGAGTTTATAGGATACTGGCAGCGACAAGAAGCAACCAGTCCCAATATGCCCCCAACATTTTCATTGGTGAGTGCACTCTGGTCGGCTAACCCAACTATTAGCTTATAACATTGTTTCATTATTTTATAATTCAATGCTCAGTGTGCACCTTATTTTGGACTCTGATTTCTTCTTCTTCACTAAAATCATGTGTGAAATAATGTGACCTCATCCATTATTTTAATTTACTGTAGTCATTATACTATTAATTATAGTAATTAATCATTTGGGTTCACTAAATATTAATAGGGTGTTCCCATGTTAAGTT